TGGATAATTAACTTGTAGTATTTTCACACAATGGAATGCTATACAGGAAAAAAAATGTGACCAAATTATAGCTCCACTCATTAACATGAACGAATCTTTAAAAACCATACAATGATAAGTCAAAGAAGCAAGACACAGAATATATTTAGAGTGAGTCTAATTGTAGAAAGTAAAACAAAACAAAACAAAACAAAAAAACCCACAAAAAAACCCCAGGCAATCTAAACAATATTGTTTAGGGATATACACAGAGGGAGGAAACCATTAAAAAAAAAAGGTGGGGAGGCAAGGATTGTCATTAAATGGAGGATGGTGGTTCCTCTGGGAAGAATGTGTCACCGTTGGGCACGTGGGCTTCTAAGGTACTTGGAATATTCATTGACCTGGGGGCAGAACAATTTATTGTTCTTTATACTGCATTTATGCATGTTACGTACTCTTCTGTATATATCATACATTTTACACAAGAAAAAAAGGGATGGTATGTGCTCGACTCTGCCCCTTTTCTCCATGCAATCCCTATTCTTGTCCTCGGCTGCCGGAGGAGGGGCCAGGGTCCCTCATCCAGTTCTCCTCGTTTCTGAGTGGGTCAAAGGAATATGGGGGTGAGGGCCTCCCCTCTGCAGCTGGGCCCTGGCTACTCCAGGGTGAGAAGGCCTGGGGAAAGCCGGGCCAGGCGAGGCCGGCTGGCTCGGCTCTTTCTGCCAACTCTGGGGATTAGCCCAGGGCTCTGGCCCACCTGTTGTTTCACTCATTCAACATGCACAGAGCACGGAGCACTTACTGTGAGCACTGGGTGCTGTTGGGAGGGTTCTGATAAGTGAGAAGTGGTCTTTGACCTCAAAGATCTTACAGTGTACTCAGAGGGAATCATATACACGAATAATACGGTACCAGAAAAATGTGAGCTAAGCGTTACAGGACTACTTATCTACTCTCTCAATAAACATTTGTTGAGCACCTATTATGTACCAGGAACCGTGCTGGATGGTGAACATATAAGGGCAGTTGAATCACAGTCCTGGCCCTTAAGTTCTTAGCCTAATTCGGAGGAAACACCCATCCAAGATAAATACAACAGTGGGGCAAGCCCACTGAGGCAGATAGGCCCAGGGAGAAGCAGGAAGACCACCTCCTCTCACCCCTGCCTGCTTAGGCTAGGTGAGATGGAGTGGGGAAGGTTAGAGTAGGGAGGTCTTCCTAAACATTCAGACCCTGAACTGAGACTTAGGGATGAGGAAAACAAGGACAAGGCGAAGGGCTGGAAGGACATCTTTTGCAGAGGGACCAGCTGGGCAAAAGCACAGGGGTAAGGAACAGCACCTGAGGACTCTTTGCTACCAAAACACAAGTACTCAGCAGGGGTGGGGAGAGAAGCAGCTGGAGGGGACAGCCGAGGGGGATCAGAGTCATATTTGCCTTGTAAAAACCTTAGATTTTATAGGTGCTGAGATCCACTGAAAGATTTAAGGGGAGCTGGATAGTTCAGTCTGGCTCAGAATAGAGGAAGTGTTGAGGGACACGGATTGGAGGAAGGCGGACAGGTTGTCAGGTTGTTGTGGATCCAAAAAATACTTAGATAGGCTAGTTCTGTCTGAGAGTAGATGGGTGGTGGCTATGGGAGACACCAGCTCCCTGCCCAGCCACCAGGTGGAGCAGGGTGAAAAGAGGGCTCCAAGCCAGAACTAGTGGGGCTCTGGGCTCTGGGTACCAAGGAGCACTAAGTGTGGGCAGAGGACGGTGAGCAATGAGAACGGGATCCTGCACAATTGGATCCCAGGGTTCGCAAAGGCTGGCTTGTGGACAGGACTGGACTGACGAAGCAAGGGCATGTAATGAGCTGCTTATAAATGAAATGTATGCACCCTGAAAAACTATCCTTAGAAGCGTTTGCAATTCAGTCAATAAAGAAGCACACCACTTAGGCATCAAGTGCATTACCAAAAGAAATCTCTTAAAGATTCAAGAGTGGTTTAATCCTGGGGAGGAGGGGTGGAGGACGGGTTATTTTTTTAAAAAAGTAAACATGTTAAACTATCATCTTTTAAAACTCATGAACATAAAACATATATGTAATTTTAAAAAAGAAAAGCACTGGCTTTTGTTCTGAGTTTACATCCCTTCCACTTTAATTGCTAAAGTGTCTTTTTTTTGGGGGGGGTATGAAACGATACAAGATAGAGGATAGCCAGCTTCTTCCCCGCTCCCCTCACGTCCTCATTTGGCAAAACAAAACAAACGAAAAAAGACCGTGAGCCCTGGGCATCCTGACATCCGAGACTGGGAGCCGCGGGTGCAGAGCACGGGGCCTAAGGCCGGAGAGCGGCGACTCTGCTCGCCTGCAAGCCCGCGGGCGGCCGGCAGAGGTCAGGCGAGTTCCACGCAGGCCCCGCGGAACCGCGCCCGAGGCCGGGAGTCCCAGCAGCGCTCCCTCGGCGGAGCGGGGTACGGGGAGGACACCCGGCCTGCCCTAACCTAGGGGTCGCGACTAACGGTCACCGGGACCTCGGTCCCGGCTCTACCGGGCGGGGCGTAAGCTGGGCGCCAAACGCCGAATTAAAAAGAGGGTTCTCCCACCCCACCTCCCACACCGCGCTCACACCCGCTCTGGCTCCACCTCGCGTCTGGGCGTGGCTGGGTGGCTGGCTCCCGGCAGGCCGGCCGAGTTCGGTTCCCCGGGGCCACTCACCTGTCATCGGGAAGGCCGCCCTGCACAACACTGTCTCCCACACTGGGTTGTGGTCAAGACCAAGGAGCTAATACATCAAATCCAGACTTGAGAGTGCCACGTAAGACTTAGGATTCAGGCCTCGGGGGGAAGTGTCCTCTAGGTCCCAGGTCCATTTTTCTAAAAGGTTGCCCGCACCTCAGAATGGCCCCTGGGAATGTGATTAGGTCCAGGGTTGATCAAGGAACCGGTATTTTACTGGTTGCCAAATTCTGATCAACAGCGTGCCCAGACCACACTTGAGAACCATTCTCAGCTTCTGTTGCCATCCCACAGGACAAACACTAGGCAAACAAGGAATGGGGGCCTGGGCTGGTCGTGTGACCTGCCTAAAATTGGAGTGGGTGGCGTTAGAAGCAGCCCCAGGAAGGACTAGCCCCAGGAAGGACTAGCTGGTGCTGTGGTTACACAATGCTCAGAAATCAAAACCCCCCAAAAGAACCAAAGTGAAGTGCCCCTTGCTCTTCCATTCGCGAATCAGGCTACACTCTATTTTTGGCTTTATTTTAAAATACACCTTTTCTATTTCATATATAGCATTGGGAGAACAGTCACATTCTACTCAAGTTGGTGGCGGGGCTCCGTAGCGCACGTGGACTGGAGGAAACCTTCCATCCTGTCACATTCTGAACAGCTCCAGGCTGCTTGTTCCAGCTACACTTTAAACCCAGCAAGACCACTATTTCGGCCCCATTCATGTCCAACAAAGCAGGGGGCAGGCCAGGGAAGTAAAGAGACAGTGCCACAAGCCCTGGGTTTCCCCCTGAGGATAGAACTGGGCTAACTCCACCTGTCTCAGGCATCAGGCTGGAAAAGCACTTGGCCGCAGGCCAGCACCAAAAGTCCGAAAGGCACCCCTGGGCCGAGAGACAAGAAAACCGGTTCTTTTAGGGAATTTAGATACGGTGGAACAACCCAAACCCATTCCACTCTTGACTGTGCAGGGGGGCTCCAGGCTGGCATTCTCATCTCTGCTGATCTAGATTCTAGCTCCAGTTCTGATCTTGGGAAAACCAAATTGTCTTTATCTTTTAAGATTTTATTTACTTGAGTGTGTGTGAGCAGGTGGAAGAGCAGAGGGGGAGGGAGGCAGAGGGGAAAGAATCTCGAGCAGACTCGTGCTGAGCATGGAACCTGACGTGGGGCTTGATCCCATGACCCTGAGGTCATGACCTGAGCCGAAACCAAGAGTTGGAAGCTTAACGGACTGAACCACCCAGGCGCCCCTGTCTTAGTCTTTTAAAAACATGGGGATGGTGTCCAGAAATGTATAAGCTTCCTTCTAGCTCTCAGACTCTTATTTCTCCGGACTCCCTCCTTCCTTTAAAACCACTGCGAGATCTGGGGAAGGGAGGCTGAAACCTCTTCTGTCCTCAAGGCAGATGCCATCTCTTTGTCCCGCATCACCGATGAGTAGGCAGGAGGACAGGAGTAGGACCTGGACTAACTACTCCCCAAGGCATGGAGCTCGCGCCAGACAGGAGGCAGTAGCAAGTAGACTGCTTCACCCCCCAAAACACCAGTTTAGAAGCAGATGGGTTTGCTTCCTAATTCTTAATACAAAATGGCAGCAGCCGCGGGGCTGTTGTAACAAAACTAGCCATAGGGCACCCAGAGAAATGTACATAGGCAGCCTTGGCTGGAGTTGAGCTGCCAGCCAGGCCTGCTGCCCAGTCAGCTGAGGGCCGTCATCCGGCCAGGACTAGATGGTGGCAGTGCAGAGCAGGGCTGAAGGGCTCAGAGGTGCTGCTGTGGAGGCTGGCGCCGAGCTGATCCCTCGCAAGCACACTGACCTCTGCGCTCCCCCCCCCCCCCCCCCGTGCAGTCTGGGTGGCCCAGGTCTGAGATGCTCCACCCCAACACCATGGGGTTTCCGCCCTAAAGGACTGAAGCCCTCGGGGGACGGAGGGACTGCTGCCGAGCGGGTGCCTGCTCATAAGCTACTGGGAACTGATGCCTCTAGAAATCGGCAGAAACAAAGGCTAGGTTTGGGGTTTTTTTTTCCCCCTAGAAAGAAGAGGCTGCCAGGTTCAAATACATGTAGAGTGGCAATGCGTCTGGTGTACTGGGCCCCCTGCCAGAGGCATAGCCCCCCTCCCCTCCAAAAAAAGAGGTGGCTGCCTGCCCGCCCCCAAGTGCTCACCCAGGGAAGTGGAGGGCTTGGACGTTAGAGGGTCACCAAAGCCTTCCCAGCAAGCCCCAGAAAAGCCAGTATGCTTCCTGCTGGGTCCATTTTAAGCCACAGAACACTTTTCAGGGAGGCCCTCCCCCCACCTCAACCCTCATTAATGTCAGGCAGCATCTTCAGACCAGAAAGTGTGACTAGAAATGGCACTCCCTCTCCCCCATGCCTGCCTGTAACTTGCGGCATCCGGGCAGGCTGGCCGGGCTCTGGGGCCCGCAGCACTTGTCAGCCGTGGTAGACACCTCACGTGGAGGCCAAGGGCTGATGCAAGTGCAGCTGAGCAGCAAGAGAGCTGCCGTATCTCTCTGTCCAAAGAAAGGCCTCTAGGTGCTGAGAAAGGGAGTGAAGGGTCTTGGGGTTAGTGGAAGTCGGCGTTGAAGGCTCTGCCGATGATCAGCCGCCTCACCTCACTGGTCCCAGCCCCAATCTCATACAGCTTGGCATCTCGCAGAAAGCGGCCCATGGGAAAGTCGTTGATATAGCCATTGGCACCTGCAGCCAGGGTTCGGGCCGAGAAGAAAAGACAACAGGAGGTGATGGGCAGTGAGGAAAGCAAACGGAGAGCCAAGTATGTAGAAACAGGCCAGGGGAGGAGAGAACTGATTAAAGAGAAGCAGCAAATGGTGGTGAGAGGGGAGGCTGTGGGGAACACCAGCGGGGACGAGGGGCCGGAAGGCCACCCAGAGAGCTGAGGCCACCAGGCAAAGTTGGGGACCACCACTGGCCGACCTGCAGGGGCAGATAGGAAGACACTGCGCAGCAGTCACTGGGTGCCAGGCCCAGGGAGGGCACGTCATTTGCACAGGTCACAAAGCCAGTCTGTGGCAGGGCTAGGCTTCAAACCCAGGCCTTCTGGCCCAGCTCCGGGCTCTGCAGCGCTAGGAAGCACTGCAACGAGGCCGTCCCGCCCCCGAGGCGTCCCTCCCTCCCCACTTCCCAGGATTCACAGGACCAGGCCGTAAGTGTGACGGGGGGCACTGCTGCCGGGACGGGCCCCTCGGGGCCTCTGGCAGTTTTCTCATTTGCTTTAACTTGTCTTCCTAGTGACTGGGGCAGAAGCCTAAAGGTGCCGGCTCAGCGGCAGTGAGCGGAAGCACTGCGGCTGCGAGTGGGGGCCACTCACCGAAGCACTGAATGCCGTCCAGGGCCACCTGTGTGGCGCACTCAGCTGAGTAAAGGATCACCCCCGCGCAGTCCTGTGGGAGGGGGCTCCGGGTCAGCAGGGCCCTGCCAGGGCCACGCAGGGAGGGAGTCCCCACAGCCGGCCCTTACCTTGGCAGTGCAGTGGCCCTGATCGCAGGCCTTGGCGACGTTGTAGACATACTGCCGACAGGCCATGAGGCGGGTGTACATGTCGGCCATTTTCCCCTGCATCAGCTGGGCACAAGGGGGGGTGTCACAAGTCAACACGCTGGAGCCACGTTCCTCTCAGACACTCCCCCTAGTCACCCAAAGCAGGTCAGCGGTAGCCACCCGAGAGCCAGGCCCGGGGATGCCAGGGCACAGCGAGGAGACTGGACTTGCCTGGGTGACAGAGATGCCCAGAGAGCAGCTGCCGCACTGTGGAGCCCGCAAGCTGAGAGGGCCCTCCCCCGGCCCCAACCCCCACGGACGCCCATGGTGGCTTCACAGCAGGAAGCATGACCAGAAATGCTGCTCCCTTCCCTCGGGCCTGCCTACAACCTGCACGCTTCACCATCCAGCCTTACAATGTCTAGTTCACTCATCTCGAGTAGGAAGTGAGCAGACACGAGAGCCACTTCCTGACAAGTTCCCAAAGCCAGGTGGCATGCCGAAGGAGCCTCCGATTCAAGCCTCCAGACTCATTTTGGTGGCAAAAGATAGGGAATGCCCTACTTGCTCATTTGTTAAAGATAATCTGCACCCAATGAAAACGTACATTTCAGCAAAAGCATTCCACTCACCTGGAAGTGGCCAATCTTCTGGCCAAAGGCTTCCCTTGTGTGTAGGTAGGGAATGGTGTGGTCGAGGACAGCCTGCATGAGCCTGCCAGAAAAGAGAAGGACACTGAGGAGGCGCCTCGCTGTACCCCCATTGCCAGTGGGGGTGGCAGAATGCCAATGTGGGAAGACTTGGGGGGAGACAGCTTGGCAGGACAAGGAGCTGGAGTCTCAGGCAGGAGAGGAGGAGCATGAGGACTCTGATCACCCCTGCTCAGTCACTGCACCGACTGCCCAGGACTTGTGCCTGTCTTCCTGACACCAGATGGAGGGGCAGGACCCCTGTGCAGACAGGCCTTAGAGCCTGGGTGTCCTGTTTCATCCTGAATAATTAAGCAGAATGGCACCTCAGGCCTCTTGTCTGTCATCTGATAATATTTCCTTTCATTGTGAAGAAAGCACATGTGGGAGGAGGAGGTTTGCTCATTTTGTCTCCAAGAAAGAAGGCACATCTTCCAGGAGGCAGTTCCCATTGGCCCCCCCAAGGGGAAGGCTGTGATGTCACGATCTGCTAAGGAGGCCAAAAGCCCAGCCCCCCCGAGCCTCACACTCACCCAAGGGGCCCACCAGCCAGCACCAGCCGCTCCAGGTCCAGCCCACTCATCAGCACGTAGACGCCCTTACTTAGATGGCCCAGGATGTTGGCAGCTGCCGGGAAAAGTGCCAGTCAGGGGGGAGAGGGCTGTCCGCAGCCTCCTCACTTTTATAAAAGCTGCTAGGTTTGCTTTTGTGGCTTTCACACAGGCCCTAAAACGTCACCTGACTTCTGACCTTCAACTAGGGTTCCGAGTGAGAGAAAAGGATGGAGCTTACTACTTCCAGTTAGATGCAGAGCTTGCTATGGAGCTCCTGGGTGACTCAGTCAGTTAAGCCTTGGGCTCAGGTTATGATCTCAGGGTCCTGGGATGGAGTCCTGCTTCGGGCTCCCTGCTCAGCGGGGAGTCTGCTTCTCCCTCTCCCTCCCCACTCCCCCACTCATGCGTGCTCTCTCTCAAATAAATAAAATCTTTAAAAAAAAAAAAGGAAGTAGAGCTTGCTAGAGGGCCTCCCCCCACAACCACCACCCCACCACACACACACACGAACGCACACACACACCATTCATAAGACAAGACACAAAGGCCCCATCTTTAGACGTTCCCTTTCTCTTCCTCGACTGCTCTGGATGGGGAAAAAAAAGCTAATTTGGTCTAGAAGCCATCCAACCCCTCCCTAGTTCTTTTTACCCATGCCCATAAAGGAGACTGAGAATTACTGTCCCCCGGGTTGAGTCTGCTCTCTGCTCCAATATCATCAGCCCCTAACCCTGACAAGAGTGGTATCTGGAACAGTCTTTGTCTAAGAGACAGGTCATTCAGTGCTAGAACCTGTTAAGCACCTCCCCACCCCAGAAGCCAGGGCACTGGATGGCCTTGGGAGGTGTGGGCAGGAAACCCAGGACAGGGTGGACCACTGACCCGCCTAATGATGGCACTTATTTCCTGCTGACGAAGAAGAATCCACACTGATCCCGCCTCCCTAGATGCTCCTTGTAACCAAAGCATACTGTTCTGGGTTCCTGGGTCAGGGGGGAGAGGGATGGTCTTTGGCCAAGGCACAGAGCAAACCCGGCTGGTCATCACACCTATGCCCTTGGTCTAATTAGCACGCGACGGGTATGCCGGCTCTCCCACTGTGGGTCACGTTTTTAGTTACACTTCAGGGGCAAACTGAATTCCCTTGTCTTCCCTGAGTCTGGCTTCCTTCAGTGTATCTGAATGGTTTTTTTAGCACCGTTAATGAGTCCCTCACCTGGCTGTTCAGGGGAATGCACAAACAAGGACGTCTGGAGGACAGGAGAGGGTGAGGGCACATCTCAGCCATCTACTCCAGGCACTGGCACACCACCCTGGGCACTGTGTATCAGTCACATAGGAAACAGCACCCTGTAGGGCAGCCACAGGCAGGCACACAGCTCTGGCCAGAAGGACAGCTACCCAGCAGCCCAAAGCCCACACGTATGGGCCCATGGACAAGCGCAATAGAGAGAGGCCCACCATCTAGACACATGGCCTCGGTAAGCTAATAATGGTGAGCTTCTCTTACTCAGAGATGGGCTTTCTCAGCTTATGATAGGGTCAGACAGGGGCTTGCCCATTCTCAGGGACTCACCAGGAACCTTGCAGTCTTCAAAGATTAGCTCACAGGTGTTAGAGCCCCTCATCCCCAGCTTGTCCAGCTTCTTGGAGGTGCTGAAGCCAGGCATCCCCTTTACGGGAAAAAAGGTGGCCCGGATTACAGACTAGTCACCAAGGCGGGGACTAGTAAAAGGCAGACCCTTGGGAAACGCCCACCCTCCCACCCAGTCCCTGAATTTGCATGCTACCCCTAGGACCCCCACTCTGTACGGCCGCCCCCCTCCTAGAAGCTCTAGCCCTAACATCCCACCCTCAGACCTGACTCATCCTTCTGGGGCTCCCAGTTTGGCCACCCTCCTTTCAGTCGGCTCTTCTACTCCGCCCTCACCTCGGGGAGCCTTGGCAGAGCACACATTGATTGTCTGCGACGAGCAGAAGAGAGCCATCTCTGGTACTGACTTCAGGAGACAAAAGCCTCCTGGCATGCACTGCCCTCCACTCACCTTTTCCACAATAAAGGCCGTGATGCCCCGAGAGGCTGGCACAGCAGCCGGATCTGTCTTGGCGTAGATAATAAGGATGTCAGCATCAGGGCCATTGGTGATCCAGAACTTGTTCCCATTCAGGATGTAGTGATCACCTAAGGACAATAAGTTGGCTGCTCAAGCCAAGTTGGCCTGTCCCAACCAGTCAGTTCATGGACCTGCTGCTGGGCAGGAAGCTGCCCTGCTGGGGCAGTTCTGGAAACCTGGCAGAGGCCACCTCCATTGACTGCTCCCTCACCCTGAGAAGGGCTGTCCCTCTGTCCATTTCAGTTCCCATTCCAGAAGCTCCCAAGGCAAGAGGAGCCTCACCTTTCTTTTCTGCTTTTAGCTTCATGGAGACAACATCAGAGCCAGCATTGGGCTCACTCATGGCCAGGGCTCCGATGTACTCACCACTGATCAGCTGCAAGGAAAACCACAAGGGCTGGTTATGACTTCAGTAGTCCTCTATGGGAGCTTACGACATTGCTTCTCTCCTGTTCACATGACACCCCTTCAGACTTCTCTCAGACCAGGTATTGGTAAAGTCCTGGAAGAGAAGCCCACTATCTGTAAGACTAAAAATATCTCCCTTTCCCATTCCCTTTGCAAGGGAAGTGAGTCCTAGTCTTGCATTTCTTCAAATGCTCTGCAAATGATGTCCAGTGACCGACTCAGGAGTTCTGGTCCTATTTTTATTTTTGTTTTTTTTATTATATATATATTTTAAATTTATTTATTGGACAGAGAGAGACACACTGAGAGAGGGAACACAAGCAGGGGGAGTGGGAGAGGGAGAAGCAGGCTTCCCGCAGAGCATGGAGCTGGATGTGGGGCTCGATCCCAGGACCCTGGGATCATGACCTGAGCCGAAGGCAGACACTTAACAACTGAGCCACCCAGGCGCCCCTCTGGTCCTATTTTTAATTCTTTTGACTGAATTATTTTAAAAGCAAGTCCCTGACCCTTCCTATCCGTATCTGGTTGAGGGCAGCATGCTGCAGAAAGCAAGTCTGACTGGCCCTTGCCAACCCAGGAGGGTGCCTCAGGGTCTCTCCCTCCCCATCTCCTCACCTTGGGGAGGTACTTTTCCTTCTGGGCCTCATTTCCGTTGCGCACAATTTGGTTGAGGCAGAGGTTGGAGTGAGCACCATAACTGAGCCCCACTGCTCCAGAAGCTCGGGATATCTCTTCCATCACCAGCACCTGTTCCAAGTAGCCCAGGCCGGAGCCACCATACTGAACTGGGAGTGGAGGCGGGGCAGCACAGCGGAAAAGGCAGCCCAGATTACATTGGGACATTCACAGGAATGTTTACCGGCAGCAAAGAAATACCCTTGTAGCTCCTACTCCAAGTTACCCCCTAGGAAGGTCGATAGGCTGATGCCGTGGGCCCTGCTTTACCAGCTCACAGAACTGGCTTTGTCTGCTGCCTCTGGTCAGCTGAGGTGTGGTTCAGAAAACAGGCAATGCAAACACCTGCGTTATCCCGGACAGACCTCTTAAGGAAGACAAGAGAGCCTGAGCACCCAAATGTTCAGAAAGCCACAGAAGTGCACAGGCAGATGAATAAATGAAGGGCGACCTGGAGTTAACCAAGAAACACAAAGAGGAAGGGTCAGAGCACTAAGAATAGACACCAAGCAAAGGAAGGTGAGATTTTCATAGCACGGGTGTTTGGCCCTAACAAAGCATGGCGATCAAATCAACATGTTATTTGATACGATGTTATATGTCAATTATGTCTTTATTTGTTTTTATTTTTTATTTATTTATTTATTTTTAAAGATTTTATTTATTTATTTGACAGAGAGATAGACAGAAGAGCACAAGCAGAGGGAGTGGCAGAGGGAGAGGGAGAAGCAGGCTCTGCACTGAGCAGGGAACCCGATGCGGGACTCGATCCCAGGACCCTGAGATCATGACCTGAGCCAAAGGCAGACGCTTAACCATCTGAGCCACCCAGGTGCCCTGTCAATTATGTCTTTAAAAAGTTAAAAAAAAAAAGACTAGTAACGGGGGACAGAGTGCCACAGATAGTGAATTTCAGAGCTCCTTACCAAAAAAATGTGGCTTTTCCTTGGCAACAGATCCAAAATCAAAGTGGCTGGATCATCTGGTACTACCACCTCCCACCCCCAGCCTTGCTCTTTGGCAAAACCCTGGTGAGACTCTTTGCAGACGGGGGCATCTGGCTGGTGCAGTCGGCAGAACATGCGACTCTTGATCTCGAGGTTAAGAGTTCAAGCCCCACGATGGGTAAAGAGATGATTTAAAAAATAATAATAAAACCTTAAAACAAAATAAGGCTCTACACACGTTTACTCTGCCCAAGAAGTCAGGCTCCTCTTAGGCTCTAGGGAAAGGTTAGCCCAACCCCTGCAACTCTAGGAAGGTAAGCCCGCATGTGGGTGACACTGGAAACAGCCACCAGGACAACCAGGTGGAAACCAGAACTTACCAACCAGAACTGGCTTTCTTTGGGGGCTCATAAACCCCCAAGATGCAGTCTGGTTTGGGAGTTACCAACAGCATTCCCCCTACCACTTTACATTAAGATGGTCTACATTTATAAGTCTTTCCATTTTATCATGACTCTGTAATCAGCTTAGATCCCAGGAACTGTCTCCAAGTGGCGAGAGAAGACATAAGAACACTGTGTTCCACCTCTGTTCTAATACATGAATACAAGCTGAATCAATGTGGACTGTCCAGCCTTTGGCAGGTGAGGCCACAGGCTTATTTCTTTACTGGGCGCTGCAAGCCAGACTGGGCCTCTCCTTCAGGGGCCAACATCCAAACCAAAGCCCACCAGCTCTGTGCCTTCTCTCCCTGGAAACGAGTAGTAAGACCCATAGAGGACAATGGGCAGGCCCAGGGTGAGCCTATTAAACACATCATCTGGCCACCTCACGTGGAGGCTCAGGTATCTCTCTCCCCCATACCACCCTCTGCTCTCAGATGAGCTCCAGGGCCAGCCGTGGGCAGAGGACATAGGCAGTCCCCACGGGAACATACCTGTCCTGAGTGGTCCTGCCCAGACGCTAATAGTAGGGCAGAACTTTGGGATTAGGGGAGATGGTAAGACTGAAGTGCAAGACAGCTGCATGATAATGGAGTTTTCTAAACTCCCCAAATCACCTGGGGGAGCTTATTAAACATGCAGAGTTCAAGAGTCTAAGTGATTCTCACCCAGTGAACCACACTGGCCTCATCCCTTTGCCTTCTGGATGTTACTGCTTAGTGTACTCTTCTCTGGGCTGATAGTCAGTGGGTGCCTTCTTGGGTCCAAGAGGAAGTCTTGGGTTTCTTTGAGCACGATCTTTCCCCTCCTTTCCTGTTTCTTTTGGAAACAGTGTTAAAGGGCATGCAAGAAAAGTTCGCATTAGGGAAGGAAACTATACTCACCAGGGGCGGTGATACCTAAGACCCCCAGGTTTCCCAGCTGCTTCCAAAACTCCTGCCAACAGAAAGCAGTGAGTGCAGTGAACTGTGAGAAGGCGGCCAGTCACAGGTGTCTGGCACATCTGGCACAAGACCCAAATGCTTCACACAAAGAGGCTGCACTGTTAGGGAGGTTTTATTTACCAGGCAGCAGTACAATTCCCAACCCAGTCTAGCCCAGCCCCCAAACTGCCCCCTTGCCGCTCGCCCCCCCCCCACCCCCCCATGGGCATCATGACTCACTCGAAGGTTCTTGAACTCATTGATATGATCAATCTCCTGGGCCTGGGGGGCTAGGTGCTCCTGAAGAAACTTAGCCATGGTCTGACGAAGCTAGAGGGAGAGAGGTGGACAGATGCCGCTGCAACAGTCCCTTACTGCCACTAAGAACAGCATCTCCACTACCGAGGACACCCCACCAAACGGTATTAGATTGAAACTTAGAGGCTGTACCAGTTTATATACTTCCTCGGAGATGATCTTCCTCTCTTTTAAGGTCCTCAGCCTAGACAGCTTGAGTATTTTTAAAATGTCACTCCTGTACATAAAGTCATTCCATGGCTTTTCATTGTACTTAGAAGATCAGCGCCTTACTCAGGCCTATAAGGCCCTGCGTGAGCTGACTCCTACTGACTCTTCCAGCCTTCTCCAGTACCTTTCTCACTCCCACTCATTGTGCTCCAGCCATACCCTCTTCAGTTTCTGGCACATGCCAGGCTTTCTGATCTGAGACTGTGGTTACAAAGGATTACGCAAAGGATTAGAAACTCTTGGTGGACAAGTTTGAGAGCTAGGATTGAACCCTTTCTGTAGGAGGTGATTCAAAGCTCTGTCTACTGACTGCAAACCCAAATGGGTTTTGGACTTCCTGGAGGCTGGGGCACTTGCTTAACAGCCAGGAGAATCAGGTTCCTGGGGAACTCTGTGCCAGCATCCAAGTGAACAGTCTCCTTCCAGAAAGGCTCTGGTTCAGCTTCACCTGTAATGCCCTTTCATGTTACCGTTCAACTTTGTACTTGGACGCAATGGGCTGAAGAATTTATAGCAGGTTACACGGTGCATTTCAATGCCCCCGAGGTGTGTATTTGAAAGACTCCCTGGTGATGATGATTAAGCAGGCTTGAGAACCATAGTCTTTTTTTTTTTTTTTTTAAGATTTATTTATTTATTTATTTATTTATAAGAGAGAGAGAGAGGCAGAGGGAGAAGCAGGCTCCCCGCTGAGCAGGGAGCCCGATGCGGGACTCGATCCCAGGACCCTGGGATCACGACCTGAGCCGAAGGCAGACGCTTAACCATCTGAGCCACCCAGGCGCCCCTTGAGAACCATAGTCTTAAGACAGTGTTCAGGTGTAAGCGGACCTCAGACAGACCGAGGGTCTTTTTGCCACATGCCGGTGGCCCTGCCAATCCTCCACCAAAACACCATCAGCCTCCCAGGAGCCTTCCTGTCTCCGACGCCTTATCTAACTCGGCAGCTAGGCTTTGCTGTTTCCACAGAGGGGAGGCTGAGGCTCGCGCCCGCCCCCCGCGCTCCCACTGCCGCCGCTCGGTGGGCGCCGGGCAGAGGAGCGTCTGGGCGACCTCCGAGCGGGGCGACGCGGCCTGGCCAGCAGGCCTTGGGACCCGGAAGGGGATGAGGCTCCCTACCTGCTTCTGCTCCTCGCTTAGCCCATTGATCGCATCGTCCACGGGCAAGAGGGAGTGGGCCCGCTGGGACACGAGGCTGGAGAGCCGCGCCCGCGGCGCCCGCAGCCTCCAACTCGCCGCGCGCCGTCCCAGAAGCCAAGCCGAGGTCGCCATCTCTGCCTAGCATGGGGAGCGGGAGCCGGAGGGGCAGCTGCAGCGCCAGCTCCAGCGCCAGCTCCAGCGGCGACGACCCGCCCCCTGGGCTCCACCAATCCCAGGCTTCGCTGCCCCCACCCAATCGGTGAGGGGGTGGGTCTCCAGCAGCCTATCACCCTCCGCGGCCGGCTGAAGGCCGCGCTGCCCTTGGTCACCACGCGAGCCAATCAGCGGTGACGGCTTGACTCCCCCGGCTCCCCCGCGATAGGGGCGGTGGGGCTGAACTCGCTTTGCTGGAGTCAGTCCTAAGTGGAGACTTTATTAAGTGGGAGAGCGAGAAAGGCGTCTTCGGAATCGAGGAATGGTATCTCCCCTGCGTTAAAGTAGCAGCCTCTGGGGGCGCCTGGGTGGCTCAGTTGGTTAAGCGACTGCCTTCGGCTCAGGTCATGGTCCCGGAGTCCTGGGATCGAGTCCCACATCGGGCTCCCGGCTCAGCAGGGAGCCTGCTTCTCCCTCTGACCCTCTCCCCTCTCGTGCTGTTTCTCTCTCTCTCTCTCTCTCAAATAAATAAATAAATAAAATCTTAAAAAAAAAAAAAAGTAGCAGCCTCTGACTACAGAAGTCTATCTCTGCGGGAGAGGAAGTGTTAAAACAGTCTGGGGAAAAAGATGCCCAGTGCTTGGAAATAAATTGTTTTTTTGTTTTGTTTTGTTTTTTCTTTTAAATTTTATTTATTTGACAGAGACGAAGCGAGAGAAGGAACACAAGCAGGGGGAGTGGGAGAGGGAGAAGCAGGCTTCCCGCTGAGCAGGGAGCCCGATGCGGGGCTGGAGCCCAGGACGCTGGGATCACGACCCGAGCCGAAGGCAGACGCTTAACGACTGAGCCACCCAGGCGTCCCTGGAAATAAATTGTTAAAGCAAATCTGGGATATGTAAGATTGGGTAAGTGGCGCTGGCTCTGGTGTGCACACTGTTAGAAACCAGTAAAACTTGCTTTATCATGTAACAGGGTGTAGTGATTTTGGAGTTCTATGCGAAAGAGTTGCTGTCTTCCAAATTATTTAATGTACAAGAAGAACATCAGGACTTTTTAAAAACAGGGTTGGGGGGTGGTGTGAAGATATAGAAAAGGGAAAGTAGTGTGTTACGAGTATTAAAAAGAAAGCCACCGAGAGCGCCTGGGTGGCTCAGTTGGTTAAGCGACTGCCTTTGGCTCAGGTCATGATCCTGGAGTCCCGGGATCGAGTCCCACGTCGGGCTCCCTGCTAAGCAGGGAGTCTGCCTCTCTCTCTGACCCTCCCCCCTCTCATGCTCTCTATCTCATTCTCTCTCTCAAATAAATAAATAAAATTAAAAAAAGAAAGAAAGAAAGCCACCGAGCCATAGTGGAGCCACTTAAGGCTCGGAATCAGTAAACCAAGACTTAACTACCTAACTGTAGTTTTCACCGCCCCAGGAATGTAACCTCTAACCACTCGACATGGGAATTTCCTATCAGCACTGGGAAATTTATAGTACCCCCTTGTGTTCCCCTTAGGATAGACCTTACCTGAAACAATCCTTTGCCTATTTCCTTTTTCTATTCTTTTGCTACGTTTAAAAACCTTTCCTTTTCTGCACCTCGATGGAGCTCCTTTCTATTTGCTAGATGGGATGCTGCCGGAGTCATGAACTGTTTAATAAAGCCAATTAGATCTTTTAAAATGGACTCAGTTGAATTTTCTGTTTTTTAACCGGGAAAGAGGAGAGCCGATAAAATTAAGTCTCTAGCCCCCTTCGCTATTTTCCTCCTCCTTCGCATTGGCCCACCATTTCATTTCAGGTGTTAAGTGCCCTGGGTCCGGGGATGAAGTGCTGCATGAAATGAAAATGAAAATGGTACCACCAATATCACCCACAGCAAGGCTGTTAGGAGTGCCTAAAAAGGAAGCCATAGGCCCAAGGTGGAGTCACTTGCCCCCAGGACAGCAAATCAAAACTTATTTGCAGTTTCAGTTTCTCCCAGAGTAGAATTTTAAACCAATCAATTTGGAATTTTCTGGTCAGCACCAATTAGGTAATCTGTCACATGGGTCCTCTCATTCCCCCCCACCCCCACCAAATAAGTAATCCATACCTTCCCCCCTAAAGAAAGATGACCTTGCCTGGAACAAACTTTTCTTTCGCTAGTGACTTCCTTGCCCCATCTTCCTTCCTACAAAAACCTTATATTTCCAACAACTCCTTGCAGCTCCCCTCTACTTGCTAGGTGGGATGCTGCCTGATTCATGAATTGATTTAATAAAGCCAATTAGATCTTCAGGTTTACTCTGTTGAATTTTGTTTTTTAATGAGGAATAAAGGAGATAGCATACTTGGTGACAATGATTTCTGTTTCTTCTTAACAGCAACCCATTAGTCCAAGGTCTGAAACACAGCTAAGACAAAAGCCAGGCTTTGTGAGCTTGTCCAGACTGAAATGCTGTCACCCCACATATGATGAGTCTCCCCTAAGTGGAGAACAGGTTTCCCCTCCAAACCCCAAATAAAGGTTCTCCTTCTAGACCCCAAGCAGGGTCTTGGCCCCTACCTCACCCTGTTTTTGAGGGCCACAGCTCAACCAAAGGGGTAGAATGTCTCTCCCCAAGACTTCAGGCCACCAACACAGTGAGAGCCAAGATCCCAAACTCCAAGGAGGTAGTTAATAGTGTCCTCAGCTACTTTGAAAGTCAAAACAAAGACTGAAAACAGATTTGCCCACAGGCAAGTCATTGGTGACCTTAGTAAAAATTATTTTGGTAGAGTAATGAGAAAAAAGGCCAGATTAGCCATAGGTAAAATAAAATCATTTGAAAATATTTTGAATGGAAACATAATGCAAATATGACAAAGGAAAACCAGTGGGATGCAGCTATCTAGCCCTTAGAGATGTTAAAATGAAACAATAGATCCTGAATGGAGTCACTTTTTTTTTTTTAAAGATATTATTTATTTGACAGAGACACAGTGAGAGAGGGAACACAAGCAAGGGGAGAGGGAGAGGGAGAAGCAGGCTTCCCACAGAGCAGCGAGCCCTTTGTGGGGCTTGATGCAGGGCTTGATGTGGGGCTCGATGTGGGGCCTGATCCCAGGACTCTGGGACAATGATCTGAGCCGAAGGCAGATGCTTAACGACTGAGCCACCCAGGCGCCCCCTAAATGGAGTCACTTTTGCTAAGCCCCTTAATAGAGGGAAATTTATAGTTTTAAGGCATATACTGGCAAAAAGAAAAACTAAAATGAAATTATTCCTATTTTAAGAAAGCAGAAAAAGAACAGTAAATTAAAATCCCAAATATAGAGGGAAATGAATATGAATAGAAATTATGAACTAGAGAAGTACAATAGAGAAAAATCAACATAAAATTGATAAGCCACTAACAAGACTGATCAAAAAAAAAAAAAAGAAATTGCAAACTGCTCATACCAAGAATGAAAAAGAAGTCAGCCTTCAGGTCCTATAGATAGAAAAAAGACGGGGGAATTTTGAGCAATTTATGCCAATACATTTTACACTGATGAGATGGGCAAATCCATTTATATAAAGTTCAAGAAAAGACAATACCCATAGATGGTGATTTTCTGTCAGAATGGAGGGGGGCAGTACTTTACTGACATGTACATTTAAGGTTAGTATACTTCGTGACGCCTCAATACATTTTCTTCAAAAAGTAAAATATACATAACAATTTGCCATTTTAACCATATTTAAGCGTACAATTCGGTGGCTTAAGTATATGCACAGTGCTATGCCATTATCATCACCACTATCCATTTTCAGAATTTTGTCATCATGCCAAACAAACTGTGTACCCATCAAACCGTAATTCCCCTGCCCTTGCCCCTCCCAGCCCCTGGTAACCTCTATTCTACATTCTGTCTCTGTGAAGGAGAGTACCTCAGGTACTCAGGTACTTTAGGTATCTCATAGGACTGTTTTTGTCTTTAAGCCAGATTGAAAGCGGAAGAGGACAGACAGTGCAAACTCAGAAATTTGACTGTGGGAGCGCCTGGCTGGCTCAGTCAGTGGAGCATGTGACCTTGATCTGGGCAGTGTGAGTTTGAGCCCCACGTTGGGTGTAGAGATTACTTAAAGATAAAATCTTAGGGCGCCTGGGTGGCTCAGTTGGCTAAGCGACTGCCTTCAGCTCAGGTCATGATCCTGGAGTCCCGGGGTCGAGTCCCGCATCGGGCTCCCTCCTCGGCAGGGAGTCTGCTTCTCCCTCTGACCCTCCCCTCTCATGTGCTCTCTCTCATTCTCTCTCAAATAAATAAATAAAATCTTAAAAATAAATAAATAAATAAAATCTTAAAAAACGACAACAACAAAAGAGGGGCGCCCGGGTGGCTCAGTTGGTTAAGCATCTGACTCTTGATTTTCACTCAGGTCATGATCTCAGGGTCATGGGATTGTGCCCTGCCTCGGGCTCCGAGGGGAGGGGAGTCTGCTGGAGATTCTCACTCTCCCTCTGCCCCCCTAGCCCCCCTCAAATAAATCTTTAAAAAAGTAATCTTTTGAGCTTTTATAAGACATAAAAAAGGATAACACCATAAAAACTGTTCATTCTTGGGGTGCCTGGGTGGCTCAGCCAGTTAAGCAACTGCCTTCAGATCAGGTCGTGATCCTGGGGTCCTGGTATGGAACCCCAAGTTGGCTCCCTGCTCAATGGGGAGTTTGTTTCTCCCTCTTGCTCTGACCGTCCCCCCTTCCCCTGCCCGTGCTCTCATGCTCTGTCTCTCTAATGAATAAATAAAAAATCTTTAGGGCGCCTGGGTGGCTCAACTGGTTAAGCGACTGCCTTCGGCGCAGGCCATGATCCCGGAGTCCTGGGATCAAGCCCCACATTGGGCTCTTGGCTCAGTGGGGAGCCTGTTTCTCCCTCTGACCCTCTCCCCTCTCATGCTGTTTCTCTCTCGCTCGCTCTCTAATAAATAAAATCTTTAAAAAACAAACAAACCTGTTCATTTTCCGGAGCACTGTCTTCCTTGTGAAGAGCATGTTTCCCCAGACAGCTGTCCTAACTTGGGCCCTAATAAAACTCCTTACTTTTTTTAGCGGAGACGGTGTGAGGTGGTGGAGGCACAGATGGGGAAGGAGAGGGACAAGCAGATTACGCTGAGCACGCAGCCCAAGGCAAAACTTGATCCCACAACCCTGAGATCATGACCTTAGCTGGCAGCTTAACCTGCTGAGCCACCCAGGTGCCCCCCCTTACTTTTAGCGATTCTAGAAAGTTTGTTCATTTTGTGTGGACAATTCCACTAGCGAATAATTGTAGTTATTTAAAAATGAAATAAAAATATTTTTTCAAATACCTACTAAGTTGTTAGATCTGATCACTTAAAATAGAACTACTGATACTTCTTTGGGTGTCATAAATATTACTAGGACATTAACTAGGGGCATCTTGAACTGAGAATTTGGAAACCTCTGGCCTAGATGATAAAAATCCACACTTCTTAGCCTGGCATTCAAGGATCAAGACTCCTTTTTTTTTTTTTTTTTAAAGATTTTATTTATTTGACAGAGAGAGAAACAGCTAGAGAGGGAACACAAGCAGGGGGAGTGGGGGAGAGAGAAGCAGGCTTCCCGCTGAGCAGGGAGCCCGATGCAGGGCTCGATCCCAGCACCCTGGGATCATGACCCGAGCCGAAGGCAGACGCTTAACAACTGAGCCACCCAGGCGCCCCAAAGGATCAAGACTTCTACTAACACCAAGTACCTCCTGCCCCATTCTTCCCTGGCTCAAATCTTTCTCCAATATTTGCTTGTTGTTTGATCTTGGGTAAATCAACCTAACTAACATCACAGCTGTAAAAAGAGGTAATAGTGCTTACCTTGAGATGGTAATGAGGATTACCTGAGAAGTGCAGCAAGGAGTTATGTGTATCTGGCAGAGTATAAGTGCTCAATTAAGTGTCAGACATAATCCCCTCACCTTGAATCTCTGAACAAGCCCAGTTCCCCAACTCACTTCCCCAAGACTCATCTCAGCTCTCTATTCTTTCCTTCAGCAGTTCATGATTTTATTTTCCCCCTGGAGCTTCCAGTGGCACCCCCGCCTTCTTGGGTTTATCATTTGCTAGAGCAGTTCACAGACTCAGAGAAACCTTTTATTTACTAGGTGATCAGTTTACCACACAGGCTGTAACTCGGGAAGAGCCCGGCGGAAGAGATGCAGAGGGCAAGGTGTGGGGAAAGGACGTGGGGCTACCATGACCTGAGCTTGCTCCTCTCCCCAAACCTCCACGGGCTCACCGCCCTGCAAGGTCCTCCACTTTCCAGCTAGCCTCTCCAACTGTTACTCTTCCTTCACTCTCCGGTCTACGTCCTTCATCAAGCCCTCCGCAACCAAAGTAGCCCATAGTGAACTACTAGAGCGCACAGCTATGCCGCACAGCCCACAGTTAGTAAGGTGTTGCTGTTGGCGATTTCACTTATATGTCACCTGCACGTGTAAGTTTTACCGAAGAGATTGCAAGCATCTTTGAGGTTAAGAATGCCATGCTACATTAAAGCTTCCTAGAGCATCTGGCGAAGTGGAGGGCACAGGTCACTATTTGCTGAGTTTCTCTAACATGGGTTCGTCCAGCCTCCAGAACAGATGAAGAGCCCACACCTCCACACGTACAAAAGGCAGATGGAGCAACAGAGGTTGGAGGAATCAAGAGAAAAGGCAGAGGGGCACCAGTGCCGGCTGGTGCTACAGAGAACCGTGAGGGGAAGGCCCCTCGGGAGCCCAGGCCACCAGCCACCAGGGTTTCGGCACTGGGCGAGAGGAGTCACAGGCATTGAGAGTTACATTCCCAGGTGTTAACTAGGGAGGCCTGACAAGGAGGTGAGGATCCCACAGCTGAGTTCTCCCCCTCTCCTGCCAAGAAGGAAGTGGGGGGGGGGCAGAAATGCCAATTACAAATTCATTTGGGTAAATAATCTTTTAAAGTATAAACATGCTGAAAATGGGTAGAAGAAAATATTCAGCTCTTCTCACGGGTGAGAGTTATGTAACTGGGTTTACCCCCTCCTAATTTTTGGGACATAACCAACTGTGTGAGTATCTGTGTGGAAGGCAAAGAGACAGCCCTGAAAGTTAGGGTGGGGGTGTTCCTTGGCCTGACTGGGTGGTATCAAGAGGGGAGGGGGGAGGTTGGTGAAGAAATTGGGAGATGCAGAAAAACATGGAAGAGAGCCAGAGCCAAAGCCTGCCTAGATCAACTAAGAAATGAAATAGAGCTGTGCCTTTGGTAAACCCGGGGGGAAGCCTACCACTGACCTCGGCTACCTAGGGAGCCACAGGGCCAGGCCTAGGATTGGCTGTGCAAAGAGCAGTAGATAAGCAGGCTCAGGAATACAGGCAGGGCACAGGCAGCCAGTGATACACAGCTGGGGGTGGAGTCAGGCACCCACCGCCACAAACAGGGGACACCCTCAGAAGACCAGCTACCGCTCCTGGAACACAGCAGGGCTAGCCACAGAGCACTGAAGTGGAAGACAAATATTCTGGGTTACATTGGAGTCTTGAACTTGTTCACTGAATTAGGTCAAGAGTATTCGGTGGACGTACTTCAGTTAAAAGGTTTCTTTTCATTTCTCAGTGTTATAGCCTGGATAGTCACAGAAATATTTATTTTAAAAGTAGCACTTAGTAAAAAATAAAAGAAGTGATTTAGACTAAAAGCTCCAAGGTGTACTATTTCAGGTAGGTGTTATTGCTATCTATACCCTCACCCCATTTATTAAGCCATTTCAATAACTTCACGTTCATTAACTTACAATGAGGTCTAGAGCCCAACCAGGATGAGAGGAATGTGTTCCAAGTTAGAAGGGGACAGGATCACTTCCCACTGATGTCTCCCATGGAACCTCTGCACTCCAAATGCATAATTAAGGTTTTCTTCCTACACATCTGAATGTGACCTTTGGGATCCTCTGGCTGTGGCTGGTTTGGTCTCCTGATTCTAATGGCCTGCTGCTTTGTTGCCTAGCAGGTCGATCAAGCTTTTGCACCTCCCCCCCTTGTCAGCCTCGATTATGTGTGTGTGAGGTTCGGGGGAACCCACCAGTCTGAGGGTGGCGTTCGCTTGCCTGAAGGAGGAAGCGCCATTCTAGCATAGACTGTCCTTAATCCTACTGCAGCAAATGTCTCCATTCTGGGGATGGTGAGTCCTAGAAGGTCTTGGCCAAGAAGCAGATGTCCTGAGTGGCTTCCCCTGTGGGAGCCATCTGGTTACTTGCTTTTTATCACATTTCTAATAGCTGCTCCATTTCCTCCAGGGCTGCTGTAAAATCATTTACTTGACTGTTACATAAAGTCTGCTGTTCTAGGAACCGGGCCCTCTCTTCTTCTTTCATCTTCAACTTGACTTTTAAGGCCTGCGTGGAAAGACATTCAAAAAGAAAGAAATGAACACGTACAAAACTTTGATTCACATGAAAGGCAATGCCATCTCAGGACATTATGCTTCTCTTCCCTTGAGGAAGACCACTGGAATACTGACACGTGATATTTTATCTTAGATCCGTGTATCTGTGCTGGTTTTAGGAATGGTTTCTCTCTACTACAGACTCTTATCTCTAAACTGGAGCCTTGAAATCCTCTAGGATTCAGTGTACTGTCCCCTGATTCTTCCAAGCAATCCGAAGCAGTCCAGACTCAAGAATCCAGGTTTCTTATTACAGTTTCCTCGAGATATCAAGTTTCCAAAGCATAGCTGTCACACCTCTTACATTGAACAACCTAGTGTTTTGCACATTGCCTCAAACCCTGTAGATGTGAACACTTCTGAGTCTTTGGAATAGAACATCAGTTGAAAAAAAATGGTGAAATCAAGCGGTCTTGCAATTTAGTGAATAGTAATGCATCAATGTTGGTTTTTTAATTTTGACAAATATACTATGATAATCTATGATGTTCATATTAAGGGCACTAAATTCCCTGTATTTATCTTTGCAACTTTCCTATAAATCTATTATTACAAAGCAGTTTATTAAAAAGAAATAAATTGATAAATAAGAAAGAGTCCTCCAGAGCCCCACCCACTGTGGCAGGAAATGGTAATCCTGCTGCATGGTGCCTGCCTCTCACCTGTAACTCCTCCATCTGCTTTTTGGCCGTTTCGTTAAAGAACTTCAGCTCATCTTGCAAAGTTTCTAACAGCAACTAAGAGGAAAGTACAATGTAGTAACAAATCTTTACTGATATGTGAAAACTTTCTTCATATAAACTAATCTCTTCATATAAAATGAAAGTTGATTAGTTGATTGCTAACAACCCTTCCATTCATTCAGGCATTTACTGAGCATCCCCCATGGGCCAGGCCCTCTCCTGGGCACCCCTGGAGGAACACAGTCCACAGGATGGATAGATCACCCCACTTCCATGTGCTCTACATTACACTGGCAATGTGGACAAAACAGAGTAGCCATCAGAGGTGACTACTAGCCTGGGGGTGGAGGAAGGCTTCCACAGCTAGCATTCTAGGATTCTAAGATGACAACTTCCGGGGAAGAGGGTATAGAAGCTCAAAGACTTAATCCCAAACAACTACCTTCCTACTTTGGGGAGGGAACCAAAGAGAAGCCAAATTTAATTCAGGCTGGACCTTTCTTTCATACAGTTCTCGGTAAACAGACAAGGGGAGAAATATGGTCAAGCGGAGAATAGAGAAACCAGAAAGTTCTCTATACAGGTCCATTGTAACATGTGCCTTAAAGTAGCATATTTTCAACTCCGACTCACTCACATCTGTAAGCACAAAGTTGCCTTCCAAGTAAAATATGCTATTTTGAGTACACATCCACTGTTCTCTTCCACTATCATGGAAAACAAAGGCGGCTTCCTGGGGTTTGCTGAGCACTTGGCCCTCACCCACTCACACCCATGCCCTCACCATAGAGTCCGTGTGATCTGTGGCGGATTCCCGCTGTGATGCCAGGGTCTCACTGCCTAAAACTGACACAAATGACAAAGTCAGCCTTGCTTAGGGAACTGCACCTAAAACAAAAACTAAAAACCCCTCCACAGACAGGAATATTCATGAGGGAAACTTCTCGAAGAGCCTGGTCCCTGAGTTTCTCCTGAGTTTTCACCTTGGCAGGGCCACCCACACCTAGCCTCAGAGCTTTATTTTACCTCCCTCCTCTCTAGCTTTAGATATGGTTAAAAGTTCATTCTGCTTTCTCTTCAGCTTAGCAGAAAATTTGTCCAAAGGAAATGTATTGGTTGGATTTTTTTGTTTTGTTTATAATACAAAAAATTATTTTTATTTTTATTTTTTTTTTAAAGATTTATTTATTTATTTGAGAGAGCGAGAATGAGAGAGAGAGTACATGAGAGGGGGGAGGGTTAGAGGGAGAAGCAGACTCCCTGCCGAGCAGGGAGCCTGATGCGGGACTCGATCCCGGGACTCCAGGATCATGACCTGAGCCGAAGGCAGTCGCTTAACCAACTGAGCCACCCAGGTGCCCCCCAAAATTATTTTTATTTGAAAAAAAATTTTTTAAAGATTGTTTATTTTTTTTTATTTATTTATTTTTTTAAAGATTTTATTTCTTTATTTGACAGAGAGACACAGCAAGAGAGGGAACATAAGCAGGGGGAATGGGAGAGGGAGAAGCAGGCTTCCTGTGGAGCAGGGAGCCCAATGTGGGGCTCGATCCCAGCACCCTGGGATCATAACCTGAGCCGAAGGCAGACGCTTAACGACTGAGCCACCCAGGTGCCCAAGATTTGTTTATTTTAGAGAGGAGAGCGAGCACGCGTGAGTGTGGAGTGAGGTGAGGGGCAGGGGGAGAGGGAGAGAGAGAGAATCTCAAGCCAACTCCCCACTGAGCACAGAGCCTGACAGAGGACTGGATCCCATGACCGTGAGATCATGACCTGAGCCAAAATCAAGAGTCTGACGCTTAACTGACTGAACCACCCAGGTGCCCCACAAAAAACTATTTTTTAAAGCTTTTTGGGCTTAAAAGTTATTATTTTTGGTAAAAGTAGTACATGTGCATTATAAATTAAAATCATACAAAAACATATATGGTGACTATAAAGAATATATCCTAAAATGCACAGGTTAATCAGCAGCATTCAGAGTCAGTGTTCCCGAATTCAAAGAAGCCTGGGCTCCTTCACTGGGTATTCTCAGGCTCCTCAACTCAGTCTGAAGCTCTTGTACAGTCTTTGGGCAATACCTTCTTTTACTCCCCTCCTTGCTACAGACTCTGCTCTCTAGGGACAGGGTCAGAACAGAAATCACATTTAACCATTGAGATTCTGCTGATGAGCCGGGTTTAGGAGCCCTTGAAACAGTATCACCTCGGTCTTTTCCCACCTGGGAAAGTTTGTTATTTGCCTTAAAAGAAATAAAATACTTCTGGTCTATTTGCAAGGTCATAATTGTTGGTACCAAATGAATGGCATAAAAGTGTTCGGATAGGAGATAATCCTCTCTCCACAACCATCTGAAATTCTGTTGGTTAAAGTCAACACCACAAGGGAACACAGAAAAGCTCCTCCAGGGCACGTGGCTGGCTCAGTCGGTAGAGCATGTGACTCTTGATCTCGGGGTTGTGAGTTCGAGCCCCATGTTGGGTGTAGAGATTACTTAAAAATAAAAAAATCTTGAAAAAGAAAGGAAGGAAGGAAGGAAGGAAGGGAGGGAGGAAGGAAGGGAGGGAGGGAGAGAGAGAGAGAGAAAGAAAGAAAGAAAGGATCCTCCCAATCTTTATTGCTTTGCTAAGCAACCCCACACTGAATGGGCTGGCTGATGCTATGCTGGACTCTTGACACACAGTCCACAATCCCCCCCACGAAGGGGCACGTGCACGGACTCCTCTGAAGGCAACCATGTACTGTCTCTTACCTGGGTTGAGGCCCTTGCTCTCCAAAACTGCCAAGCAGTTGTCTTGGAACTTCTCCAGCAGCTCCACCTTTTGGGTCAGGTCCTTCAGTTCTCCCTATGGAGGTGCCATGACACAGATCAGGCCCGTTCCCCTGTGTGGATGTGGGGGGGGGGGCGGGGGGTCTCTCTCGTCCCTGCTCTAATGGTACCACAAGCACAAGCCTGATGTCTTCTCTTCCTCACCTCAGGCCCCCGGGCATTACAAGCTTCTCCTCCCCCAGGGACCATCCCTTAGGAGTCCACACATTGCCTAGTGCAGTGACGACAGAGGTCTGGTGGGTCTCCTACCTGAGTTTCAGTCAACTTCTGGTGCAGCTGCTTGTTGATGGCCTCTAAGAGCTGGTTCTTATCCTTGAGCTCTTCCTCTGATTTCTGCTTACTCAGCGGTTTGTAACTGTAATGATAATTGGTGCTCAGCTGAAGAGGTGGAGGTGTTAAGAAAACGGGCTATAGAGTCATATGAACAGGGGTTCAAATCTTGGGGTCATTACATAGTGGTATATGATGCTCAGTAAGTTACATAACCTCTTTGGGGCTTTGTTTCCTCATTTCTAGAATTAGGATAATACCCACATCTCATAATATAATTATTGTGAAAAATAAAGGGAGAGAATACATGTAGAATTCTTGGCCCAGCTACTGACACATAGTAAATACTTAACAGCCATTATCATCACTTCTTTTCAGTGGCCTCAGAGTCCTTCTTGAATAGTATTTTATCTTCAGAACTTTTTTTTAAGATTTTATTTATTTATTTGACAGAGAGAGAGACAGCGAGAGAGGGAACACAAGCAGGGGGAGTGGGAGAGGGAGAAGCAGGCTTCCCGCTGAGCAGGGAGCCCGATGCGGGGCTCGATCCCAGGACCCTGGGATCACGACCTGAGCCAAAGGCAGATGCTTAACGACTGAGCCACCCAGGCGCCCCAGAACTTTTTTTTTTTAATTTTTATTTTTTAAGTCATCTCTACACCCAAAGTGGGTCTCGAACTTGCAGCCCCGAGATTAAGAGCTGCATGCTTGGGGCGTCTGGGTGGCTCAGTCAGTTAAGTGTCTGACTCCTGATTTCCGCTCAGAGTCATGAGATCAAGCCCCATGTTGGGGTTCCACACTCAGTGGGGAGTCTGCTTGAGTCTCTCTCCCTCTCCTTGTGCCCCTCCCCAGCTTGCACACATTCTCTCTAAAATAAATAAATAAATAAATCAAAGAAAAAAAAAAGAGTTGCATGCTCTACCAACTGGGCCAGCCAGGGCCCCTATCTTCAGAACTTCTAACACATGCCCAAATAATAGACTTGGAATTAGGACCTATTTCTATAAACTTTCCAGTTTGTATTATTTCTGTCTTCAGAAGCAAAACATCCAAGCCAGCCTCTAACAGAGAGATGGATCCTTCCCCAGGATTTCTACCACCACCATCTCGAAGTCATTAACCACACGCAGTGCCTCCTATCCTGAAGGCTCACCCTCCTATCGATGGGCTATAGCTGGGTTTGATTTCCAATCAGCAGTGGGCCTGGCATGGAGCCCAGAAAGCTCTTGTCTGGTTCTCAAGATGGGAGCATTGCAGATCCTTGCCCTGCCAGTGGTTCTCAAACCAGGCTGTGCCTCACCCCTGGAAATTCCACTCAGATTTCTGGGGTGGCACCCAGGCTGTCAGACACTAAACAAACCCACGAGTGATTATGAGGCACAACCAGGACTGAGATCCACCACCTTAAAATGGTGGCCAACTTTCGCTTACCCTGATGCTCACCTCTTTCTGATGTTCTTCCTCATGGCAGCATCTGCAGCTTTTACCTGCCTAGAGAAGCAAAAACAAAGAAATCAGGATGTTCGCTCGTCTTATTGTGGTGATCATTTTGCACTATATACAAATAGCTAAGCATTATGTTGTACACCTGAAACTAATATAACATTGTGTGTTAATAGACCTCAGTTAAAAAAACAACAACAAAGAAATCAGAGACCGGTAGCATTGCTGTTCTGTGTGTTGTGAACAAGGCAGAACAAAGAGCCTAGTTTTCTGGGGCGCCTGGGTGGCTCAGTCATTAAGCGTCTGCCTTCAGCTCAGGTCATGATCCCGGAGTCCCGGGATCGAGCACCGCATTGGGCTCCCTGCTCGGCGGGAGGCCCGCTTCTCCCTCTCCCACTCCCCCTGCTTGGGTTCCCTCTCTCGCTGTGTCTCTCTCTGTCAAATAAATAAATAAAATCTTTAAAAATATATATGTGTATTTAAAAAAAAAAGAGCCTGGTTTTCTGAGGAAAAAACCAGAGACTACATACAATGCAAACAGCTTCAGAAGCTCTGAGGGCCCATGCACTTTTGTTTCAGCCTAGACTATTGGAAAAGGCTTATGAATAGGGAATGGGCTCCTCTCCTGACCCACCTCAGTATTCCGACAGACCTGCGGCTGCTCAAAATGGTGTGGCTACCTCATGTCAAGCTGGCTTCTGTGGGAACTGAGCACAGGGAAACACACACACACCACCCTGGGCGGGACTATGCTCAGACCAGCACCTCGGCTAACAATCAGCCCCACCCACTCTGACCACCACCTGGGGCGGTGTTTGGCCTGGTACTGCTGTTTGCACACTCGGAGCAAGTGGTGAGAGAACAAAGTACCTCTTAACCTAACCCTTGCTGGGCCTCTTCAGAACTGCTCAACACAGAATCTTGATCCTGAGCAATTTCTAGCAAGATGTTCTCATCGGCGTATTGCATGGAGCACTGGGTGTTATACGCAAACAATCATGGAACACTACATCAAAAACTAATGATGTAATGTATGGTGATTAGCATAATAAAATAAAAATTAAAAAAAAGGGCGCCTGGGTGGCTCAGTTGGTTAAGCAACTGCCTTCGGCTCAGGTCATGATCCTGGAGTCCCTGGATCGAGTCCCACATCGGGCTCCTTGCTCGGCAGGGAGTCTGCTTCTCCCTCTGACCCTCCCCACTCTCATGTACTCTCTCTCATTCTCGCTCTCTCAAATAAATAAATAAAATCCTGGGCGCCTGGGTGGCTCAGTTGGTTAAGCGACTGCCTTCAGCTCAGGTCATGATCCCAGGGTCTTGGGATCGAGTCCCGCATCGGGCTCCCTGCTCTGCGGGGAGCCTGCTTCTCCCTCTCCCACTCCCCCTGCTTGTGTTCCCTCTCTCGCTGTGTCTCTCTCTGTCAAATAAATAAATAAAATCTTAAAAAAAAAAAAAAAAAAAATTAAAAAAAAAAGATGTTCTCATCGGATACCAATGATCGGACTCTCACCTATTCTCTCGTCTCGGTTTGGTGATTTTTGTAACATCATTCTCTGAACCTCCTGAATGAAGTCTGGAAACATCCGCTTCTTTGGACTTAACGGGTAATAGGCTCTTAGAAGTGGCTCGAGTTTGTGTGTCTGCAAAGGAAGACAAGCGGGTGAAACCTCAAGCATTGTGACCCAACAGCTGCAACTCTGTAACAGCTCTGTTCCAGGTTGTCAGAGCCCTGTATTTTTTTTTTTTAATATTTTATTTATTTATTTATTTGACAGAGAGAGACAGTGAGAGAGGGAATACAAGAAGGGGGAGTGGGAGAGGGAGAAGCAGGCTTCCCACTGAGCAGGGAGCCCGATGCGGGGTTTTATCCCAGGACCCTGGGATCATGACCTGAGCCGAAGGCAGACGCTTAACGACTGAGCCACCCAGGCGTCCCCAGAGCCCTGTATTTTCATTCTGGACCATCTCAATTTGCAAAGATTAATTCAGAAGAATCCGACTTCTAGACTAATTGGGGATGGAAACCAAAATCCTTTGAAGGTGACAGTGCAATGTATTTGAGGATCGCCAAAAGCCTGATGATAGGGCAAACTGAACGGCCAGAGGGTACGGGTGTGAAAGTGGATGTTGATACAAGCGAAGAGCGAAATGACAGGTAGTGTGGTGGTCCGCAGGGCAGCCCACAGTTAGAGCCTTCCTCCAGGACCAGTGGAAGCCGACCACCTTGCAAAGCTCCTCTGCCCTCTGCCCGTTCTCCCAAGGCTAAGCTCAAACTGCTGCGAGGTTCTCTTTCAACCGTTGCATAGTTGTTGTTATCTCTTTATTAATTTTTATTTATTTTTTTAAAGTAGGCTCCATGCCCTACGTGGGGCTTGAACTCACAATCCTGAGCTCAAGAGTCACATGCTTTACCAAGTGAGCCAGCCAGGTGCCCCAGGTCTCTGTCTGAAGTAAAAGGTAACCTTAGGGGAACATATGTACCTCCTCTTTCAAGTATTAGTAAGTTATACACAGTAATACATCTACCCCCAGGTGAAAAGGTGTTAATAAATTTTGATCACAAAATTAACTCTCTTCATTGACTGGAATCAGTTCTTAATCTGCACCTGCTAGAGCCTAAGGACTGCATTGTAGGAAAAATTTAGCAGCACTTAACAAAGACTGTCTTCTTGAAATGAGAGACACAAGGCACCTGGGTGGCTCAGTCAGTTAAGCCCCGAGACAGGCTCTCTGCTCAGCAGGGGGTGTGCTTCTTCCCCCCTCCCTAAATAAATAAATAAAATCTTAAAAAAAAAAGAGATTTGCTAAGGAGGGGAATTGGATGGCTGGTCAAGGAAGGGAAAGAGACTTGTTCTTCACTGCATAATGTTTTCTAACTTTGGATTCTTTTTTACATGTATATGTTATGTAGGCAAAAAACCTAGAGATAGCCTTAAAATGTTAAACTATTGAGGTTATATATGATCATAAAGCTGGGACAGGAATAGAATGCTGAGATAAAAACTTCCAACTTGGCTGGGGAGAGCCAGTCACTCTCCACCCAAGGAGAGGGCACTGCTCTCCAAGGCAAAGGCAGTGCAAGGGGCGTGCACCTCCCCCCCCCAGCCCCAACTCCTAGGTCCTGCTGATGCCAGATTACCATTTAGGTGTTTTGAGGCCAGGTAAGACAAACAAAAAACCCCTTTAAGCCTTTGGAGAAAAGCCTGTTTACTTCACAGATCAATCCAGCTACTGCTCATCAACCAGCTGCACAGCGTCCCCTGAGAAGGAGTCTTAGATAGCTACTTCAAAATCTCCCACCACAGGTTCTGATTTTTGAAGCTTATTTTGTGCCCTGCTCTAGAAATTAGGCAACTTGACAACTGCAGAGCGTAGATGACTTTCAACCACAAGCCCAGTAACACGAAGCAAGATGGCAAAGCAATCAAAAATTGCTTTTAATCCTATTTCTTCTCCCAAGGTTATGGAAAACTCTGGCTGGGCCTGACCCCTCTCTCTCACTTCACCCAACAATTTATTGAGAACTTACTATATAAGAGAAACAGTGCAGAAACAAATGTGAATTAGACATAGTGTGAACTCTAGTGCCTCCCTCTAAGAATCACACTTCTCAAATGACTCTCCTCCCTTCTCCCTGACAACAAACCCAGTCCCTCCAGATATCCCAGATCTGGAAATCAAACTGGCAATTGTTTAAAAAGGGATTCCTGGGGCACCTGGGTGGCTCAGTCTGTTAAGTGTCTGCCTTCAGCTCAGGTCATGATGATCCCAGGGTCCTGGGATACAGTCCCACATCGGGCTCCCTGCTCAATGGAGAGCCTGCTTCTCCCTCTCCCTCTGCACCTCCCCCTGCTTGTGCTCTCTCTCTCTTTCTCTCTCCCTGTCAAATAAGTAAATAAATAAAATCTAAAAGAAAGGGGGGGGGGGAATTCCTAGCTTAAGGAAATAATACTGTGAAACAATAAGCAACTTAAATCTAATTAGTGAATGCAGCATGATTAGGTTTGGGAAGAGGAATGGGGGAGGGCAGGTCTAAAATCCTACCACAGGGCCCTTGCCCCAACTCCCATCATAAACCTAGACAGCCCAGTTCTAGGCGAGGTAGCAGGTTGTCAGAGCCGATGAATTGCCCTTCCCCTGCCCGCGCCCCCCTTTCCTGGCCACTGATCTGTGCCCTCTTACTCCTCGGTCTGACCAGCCCCGCCGGTCCGTAGGGCTGTGTGGATACCTACCTGCCGGCAGGCCGCCGCTTTGCACAGCGGGGGGTTGCAGAGCGTATACTGTCTTAACCACGCTGGTCATCGTAACGAGGCGGCACGGCTGGGCCCTGGAAGGTGCAAGGTGAACGTTACCGTGACGGGTCTGGGGGCCCGTGTAGGTGGAGGGTCCCCGGAGAGCGCGACCGGGCCTGTCCCGGCCCGGGGAAGAAGTCTGGAGAAAGAAAATTCTCCATTCCCAGCCCCTCCCGCGCGCCCCCGACATCCAGCCCCGTCCCTCGCCCCGGGAGAGTCGAACCCAGGCTCCTGCAGCTCCTGCCCGCAGCCCTCGTTGCCCTGGTTCAAAGGAGGCTCCTCGGCAACTGCCGCACCAGCGACCGGGTATGCCGCCCGGCTTTCAAATGGAAACTTCCGGTGATTGGACGGGAGGGGGAGCGGTTCGCGCTCTGTAGGCGGCCATGTTGTACGGATAGCAGGGCTGTGGGCCACGCCTTTAGGGGCTGCCATGCTGTACGGCAGGTCAGAGCTGAGCCCAGTGCCTGAGCTTCTAGGCTTTGGGTGTCAGAGGCCCCAGGTATGGGCGGGGGAGGGGAGTGGTGCACTTTGCCTGCCTGAAAGGAGCTATGAGCCGCCAGCGTCGTATTTCGGGCTTGAGACACAAACGCGGTCATCGTTAGAGTCTGTCACAATCTTCTTTATTTGGTCCGTGATTGTTAGGGATTTTGCATGATGCCTGATTGGCAAGAGCATAAGAGTATTTGGATGGGTAGGGTGGAGAGTAGCAGGTGAGGTTTAAAAAGGATCTGTGGGCGGAAATACGACCTCACCTAGGACAAACGAGGGGCTTGGACTCACAACGGAGAGATCAGGAGTCCCATCCTCTACCAACTGAACCAGCCAGGTGCCCCCACACCCAGATTTTAAGCAGAGATTCAGAGTTACTCCTAGAGAACAGGGCAGGGTTCTCAAGCACTTAAGGCACTCATTCATTTTACTTAATAAATGTTTATTGAGCACCTGCTGTGTGCCAGACCATTCTTCTAAGAGGACAGATGGGGGCGGAGCAACAAACAAAGTCTGAACTGACTTTGGCTCTGCCCTCCTGGAGTTTACAATCTAGAAAATGGAAACAAAAAAATCACACAAACTTATTAGTTACATCTCAGTTAAGTGGGAAAAAAACTCAAATACATATTTGCCAACTGTAGTAAAACTATGAAGGAAAAGCACAATGTGCAATGAGAAGAAAATTGGGGAAACAGTTGAAATTGGATAGTGAGGGAAGACATCTAAGGTGATGTTTGATTAATGAAAGATGAATGGGAGTTCGGGGAGCCTGGGTGGCTCAGTCAGTTAAGTGTCTGCCTTCGGCTAAGGTCATGATCCCAGGGTCCTGGGATGGAGCCCCACGTGGGGCTCCCTGCTCAGTGGGAAGTCTGCTTCCATTTCCCTCTGCCCCTCCCCCCTGCTTGTGCCCTCTCTCGCTCTCTCTCAAATAAATAAAATCCTTAAAAAAAAAAAAAAAGGTGAGTGGGAGTTTTTCAGATGAACAATGGGGGAGAGAGGAAAAATGCAAAGTCCCAAAACTGGTATGACTAGCTGGGAATGAAAGATGGGAGGAGAGATGGGAGGAAAGTGATACGGATAAAGCTGCAGAAGTAAGTCAAATGGCAAGTTTTGCAGACCAGAGGTAAAGAGATTAAGATTTTATCTTAAGAGTAATGGGAAGTCATTGAAATACTAGAGCAGGAGAGTGTTACTCAATTTATATTTTAAAAAGCTCATTCTGACTACTTCATGAAGGATTGAAGGGGGGTAAGGGCAAAACTAGGGTGGTAGTTGGGAGGCTACTGTAATGATTCACATGAGAGATGTTGGCTTGGCCATGAGGGTGCTGGTAGTACTGAGAGTGTAGAGGCCGCTTTTAAGCAAACAGGCTAGAGTGATGGAATGCAGAAATAGCCTACAGCAACCACCTGGCTGAATACAGATGGACCCAACAGGTGACCCACCTCAAAATCTCCATAGATCCTAACTGACCAATGGGCTACTACAACTAGGCGCAGTTACCGAAAAAGGGAAGATTCCATATGTCAACATACCTCTTCACCTTCCCTCTTTAAAAACAGCCCCCACCCACTGTCTCGTGGCAGACAGGGTTGGACTGGATGTGGGAGGAGGGCAATGGGAGAAGGAAAATTTTTTTTTAAAGATTATTTTAAGATTTTTTAAAAAATTTATTTACTTGACAGAGAGAGAGAGAGCACAAGCGAGGACAAGCAGGGTGAGTGGCAGGGCGGGGATGGGAAGAGGCAGAGGGAGAAGCAGGCTCCCTGCTGAGCAGAGAGCCCAATGTAGGGCTCCATCCCAGGACCCTGGGATCATGACCTGAGCTGAAGGCAGATGCTTAACGGACTGAGCCACCCAGGTGCCCCTAAAAGATTATTTATTTTAGAGAGAGCACAAATGAGGGGAGGGGCAGAGGGAGAGAATCTCCAAGCAGACTCCCCACTGAGCATGGAGCCCAAAGCCAAAGTGGGGCTCAATCCCACAACCCCTGAGATCATGACTCCAGCTGAAACCCAGAGTTGAATGCTGAGCCACCCAGGTGCCCCGAGAAGGAACTCTTAAGGAGAATTCCCAGGCTTGAGTAACTGTGTGGGTAGAGTCACTATTTTATGTTGCTGGGAGATTCAGAGCTTAGTTTGGAACATGTTAAACTTGAAATGCCTCTCAGACATTCAAGTGGAGCCGTCAAGTAGACAGTTTGAAATACGGGCTTTGAGACCAGAGGAGAGTCTGGGTTGCAGATCTACTCTTGAGAGTCGGTGTATGGATGTATTTAAAAAAAAAGAAAAAAAAAAAAAAAGCTGAGATACTGGATGAGATCAGCAAGGGAAGAAGTGTACAGAGTGTACAGAGAGCCACGGATAGGGATGGCAGCTTTTAGAAGTTGCAGTGATAGGGTGCCAGCCAAGAAACCTGATAAAGAGGTGCCAGAGAGGTGAGAAGACAACAAACAAAGGGCGGTGCTTTAGAAGCCGAGGAGGAGGAAGTGGTAAACTGTGGAAGGAGGGAGTGGTAAACTATTGAAAATAACTGGTAAAGAAGTCATTGGCAAATATAGCAAAAGGAATTGTGGGCGAGAGGTAGGTCTGAGTGGAAGCCACACTGGAGTGGGTTAAAGAGTACATGAGAGATGAAGAAGCAGTGATGGCGGATGCAGACATTAGTAACTTTGTGGATGGAGTAGAGCAATTGGGCAGTAACTGTGGAGGTGGGTTGTGGGGGTCAAGGCGGGGTTTTCTCAAAGATGCAGCTGCTAGTGGATACATGTGCTCAGGGGAATGAGCCAGCTGAGGGGAAGAAAAGGATACTAAAGGGGGAGAGGGGATGATCAGAGGAGCAAAGTCATACACAGATGGGGAAGGAAGACGGACTCTGGAGTAGCATTTGCAAAATCTGCTCTTTTTTTGTTCACATACCTCTACCGATAATTAAGCAAAAACAAAAGCAGTGTGCCCTCTCATCCATTTTTACCTGATGCCTACCTTTCTTCATAATTTTAAGTATTTGTAAAGGACCAACTTTCCACCTATTATATATTGTGTACCTCTTTATTCATTTCTAAAATTCTTTTCTTTTCGTGTTTCATTTTGGACAATTTCTATTGCCATGTTTTCAAGTTCACCAATCTTTTTTTCTGCAGTGTCTAAACTCTTGTTAATTCCATCCAGTGGTTTTTCATCTCAGACAGTTGTTTTCATCTCTGCAAGTTCAATTTGTGTATTTTTAAAAATATCTTCCAAGTCTCTACTTAGCTATATGAACATATGGAATACAGCTATAATAATGTCTTTGCTAATTCTCACATCGGTGTCAGTTCTGGGTTGGTGTCAATTCGTTTTCCTCCTCACTATGGTTCATATTTTTCTGCTTATTTGCATGACAGGTAATTTTTTTATTAGACCTCAGACACTGTAAATTTTGAGTTTTTGCGTGCTGGTTATTTTTGTATTCCTGTAAGTATTCTTGAGGTTTGTTCTGAGATGCAGTTATATTACTTAGAAACAGTTTGATCCCTTCAGGTCTTGCTTTTAAAATTTATTAGATGGGATGAATAACTAGGGCTAATTAAAAAAAGAAAAAAACTGGGGCTAATGTGTCTCCACTGCTAAGGCAAGACCCTTCTGAGAACTCCAACCAATGCTTCATAAATTATGAAGTTTTCCAGTCTAGCTGATGGGAACAGACACTACTCCAGTCCTCTATGAATACTGGCTACTGTTCTAATCATTTTGGATGATTCTATCCTTAGTCTCAAGTAATTTCCTCACATTTATGTGATGAGTAGTGCTCTGCTGAGGGGTGGGGGGCTCTACAGATCTCCAGAATTCTCTCTCTACGTACCTTTTTTCTCACCAGCACTCTGTTCTGAGCACTTTAGTTTGGATTGCCACAAACTCTAGTTATCTCCTCAGCTCAGGGAGCCTGCATGGCCCTGCCTGGGTTCTCCCTCCCTGCAATATGTCCTGGAAACTCTCTCAAGCAATAAGCTGAGGCAATCATAGGGCTCACCTCATTTGTTTCTTGTCTCTCAGGGATCACTGTCCTTTGTTGTCTGATGTCCACCATCTTGAAAACTGTTATTTCACAGTTTTTATGTTTAGTTGATTGTTTCAGGAAGGAGGGCAAATCTGTTCCCTGCCGCTCCATCTTGTCTGAAAGGGGAAGTTGTATATGTACTCTAAATGTATTTTTGTTCAAACCATGGAGCTGCAGATTTAAATCATTCCACTTTTGGATAATGCCTACCATATATCCTATGTGCAAAGCTAGACCTCTGTACCTATCAGCCAAATCAGACTGGCTTTCTTTTTTTTAAAGATTTATTTATTTTAGAGAGAGAGAGACAGAGAGAGAGAGAGTAGGGGGAGGGGCAGAAGGAGTGGGAGAGAGGAAAAAATCTTAAGCAGACTGCCCACTGGCCATGGAGCCCTATGCGGGCCGATCCCATGACCCCGAGATCATGACCCCAGCAGAAATCAAGAGTCGGACGCTCAACTGACTGAACTACCCAGATGCCCCCAGACTGACTTTCTATCAGAAAAATCTGATACTGTCTTTCAGTCTAAACAAATGTGGTTAATATGCATCCTGTATCAACCTTTCACTCTTGAATTTAAGTTCTTAAATGAAGAAGGCACAGAACTGAATAACCACACAGAGGCCTCATAATGATTATAACTTTATCAAGGTCCTTCCAGGGCTTTTCAGCACAGAATGGCTTTGGACAACCAATCATTTACATATAGCACATAGTGGCTTTCTTTTGTTTCTCATCTTCCCATCGAACTAAGTTACAATTTCTTCTCTTAAGCATAAACACCTCCAGACCTTGAGTTATAGTTGTCCCTGGGATCAAGGGTGTGGGTGGAAAGGGTGAGGAATGCCTGTTTTTTCTATCCCCAAGCAAATGGAATCTTGATGGATGGGATGGGGTGTCAGAGAGCTTGTCATTGCCTACATGTATTATCAAAGGCTGAGATAAGGCCACCATGGAAGAAAAGATCAGAAACTCTCCAGATAAATGGGTGAA